AGTACATTCTTCTATTTTTGTATTTCGCGGATTACTAGATAAGTTTATAAGTGTTTGTCAACATCAACAATACTTTTATCCTAAACTAACTGGGGTTGATAGTAGATGAATCCAAATAAAAAGTACGAAGGCATAAAAATAAAAAAATATAATTATAATAATAATATAAATATAAAAGGGGTGTAAAAAAAGAAGATTGGAAAAGAGATAAAGAAAAAGAAGAAAAGGGGAAGATAAAAACGAAAAAGACTAAAAAGGGACTATTTGGAACATGGAAATAACAACGAGTTTAACCATCCACCATGCTAATAGCTTTTCTCCATTCCGTCCTACGGCACATCATCCGCCAATCTATATCCCATTACATTAAGTCTTGTTTTACTACCTTATCCCAAGTAAGTTTCGATCTACCTCTACATTTCTTTGTATCGAACTATTGGTAACAAACTTTTATTCTTACGGGAACATCCAGAGGCCTTCTCATTATGTGTTCAAACCACCTCAATCTATGTTCTGTCATCTTTTCAGCCATCTATAGTACTCCTGCCTTAGGTCGAATATCTTCATTTCTTATCTTATTCATCCTCGTATAACCTCACATCCACCTTAACATCATCATATCTCTTACTCCCATTTTATGTTTATGTTGTCTATGGGCTGGCCAACATTCAGCTCCATATAACATTGCAGGTCTTACTGCTATTCTATAGAATTTTTCTTTTAGCTTAAGGAGAGTTTTATGGTCACACAAAAATCTAGAAGCACTACGCCATTTCATCCATCATATTTTGATTCTATGATTTACATCATCATCAATCTCTCAGCCTTTTTGCAAAATGGATCCCAGATATCTAAAAATATCTTTTTTGGGTACCTCTAGACCAAGTAAATGCACAGGATCTTGGTCTACATATCTTACCAGAGAAAACTCACACTTCATATACTCAGTCTTGCTCTAGCTTAATGTGAATCCTTTAGACTCCAACATGCTTCTCCACAATTCAAGTTTTCTATTAACACCGTCTTTGGTCTCATCAATAAGCACAATATCATCTACAAAAAACATACACCATGACACTTCTTCTTGGATATCTTTTGTTAGTTCATTCATAACTAAGGCAAAAAGATAAGGACTTGGAGCCAAACCTTGGTGTACACCTATCGTGATAGGAAAAATAACTTTATGTTTCATTACAAGCTTTCACACATGTAGTAGCTCCATCATACATATCCATGATTGCCTTTGCATACTTTGATGATACTTTTTTCTTCTTAAGAGTTCACCATAAAACTTTTCTTGGGACCCTGTCGTATGCTTTCTTAAGATTTATGAACATCATATGTAAGTCCTTCTTCTTTTCTCAATATCTTTCCATTAATTGTCTCATCAAGAAAATAGCTTCAATGGTACCTCTTCTTGAAATAAATACAAATTGATTTACAGAAACCTTGGTCTCTCGCCTCAAGTGATGTTCAACAACTTTCAGTCTTTCTCCCACAACTTCATAGTATGACTCATTAACTTAATGCCTTTATAGTTAGAACAATTATGAATATCTCCCTTGTTTTTGTAAATAGGCACAAACATACTTTTCCTCCATGCATCAGACATTTTATTTGTTTGAAGCATCTTACTAAAAAGATTGGTCAAATATTTTATTGCCACATCCCCAAGCCTTTCCACACTTCAATAGGTACACCATCGGGTCCCAAGGCTTTATTAGTTTTTATCCTCTTTAAAGCCTATTTAACTTCATATGTGTTGATTCTGCGTATAAATCTTCTATTCAAATCAGCATAGCTATCCTCCAAATCCACCTCGCTTTTAACGCCATCCCCATTAAACAACTTGTTAAAGTAGTTCATCCATCTTTCATTTACATCTTCATCTCTCACCAATTTTTTTTTATTTTCATCCTTGATGTATCTAACTTAGGTGAGGTATTTACTTTTCTTATCCCTCATTTTGCAAGTTTATATATACTTTTTTTTATCATTCTTGCTCTCAAGATTTTTATACAAATCGGCGAAAACCTTGCTTCTAGCTTCCCGCACTGCTTTTTTTGCATTTTTTCTTGCCAATTTAAACTTTTGCAAGTTCTCGTCATTGAGACTTTTATGCAAAGATCTAAAGCATTCATTTTTCTGTTTAATTGCCTCTTACACTTTTCCATTTCACCACCATGTTTCTTTTGTATGAAAACCGCTTCTTTTGCTTTCTCCCATAACCCTTCTTCCGATATTTGAATACATATAGACATCTCATTCCATATTTCATTTGCTCTTCCATCAAACTCCCATGGTTCTTTATGCAACATTCTTACATTGAACTCTCTCTGTTTTTCCTCCTTTAGCTTCCACCATCTTATCCCTAGTTTCTAAGCCTTCTTCCTCATTTTAAGTACTTTGTTGAATCGAACCTCTAATACTACCCGCTTATGTTGCGTAGCGACACACTATCCAGGATAAACCTTACAGTCGATACAAGAGATTCTATCTTCTCTTCTAGCCATAAAAAAATCAATCTGACTACGATTTTGGCCACTACAATATTTGATTAAATGTAACTCCCTTTTTCGAAAAAATGTGTTAACTAGCAACAAATCATAGGCTAGTGCAACGTTCTAGATATCTTCTCCAATCTCATTTCTAGTTCCATAGCCAAAACCTCCATGAATCTACCGAAACCTCCATTGCTTTTACCAACATGACCATTTAAATCTCTTCCTAAGAAAATATTATCCTCTCGTGGTATCCCCACAAAACCTCCTCTAAGTTTTCCCAAAATCGGCTCTTATCATTGGGTTGCAATCCAACTTGGGGTGCATACACACTGAGGATATTCAAGATTAAATCACTCACTACAAGTTTAACTAGAATAATCATGTCACCTTTCTTTTTGACATCAACAACTTTATCTCTTAAACTTCTATCAATCATAATTCTAACGCCATTTCGACTCTTGTTTATACTGATATATCGCTACTTGAAATTTCTACCATCCACTTCCTTGGCCTTTTCTCCAACCCACTTAGTTTCTTGCAAGAAAACAATATTCATTTTTCTTCTAGCAAAAACATCTGCTAACTCCTTAAGTTACCCGTTAAGGTTCTTATGTTCCAGCTTCCCAATCGCATCCTTAACCCCTGGACAGTGCTTGCCCGCCAAGCTTGCCCATCTGTGTTTTGGGACCCTGACCTACTTGTCACCAAATTCGGGTGAAGACTTGGGGCCCTGCCTTAAGGCAATGATCATAGTTCATTTATCGTTACAGCCCGGGACCAATGCAACACCTTGCCTTATGGCAAAGGCCCTAGCCCATTTTTTTGTTACACCTGGGGTCCGATGCAACACATTGCTATGAAGGGTAGGCCCCAACGAAATGTCATAAGGGTTCATATAATAAATATGGCTATTTTTTACGTCTGACTCGTTGCATTTGATGCCAACCCTCTTCCTTTATCCTGGCCTGAGATAGGCCATGCATGCGAGCACATATAGGCGAAGTTTTATAAGTTTTTGTAAATAAATTTTTTTGTAAATACAACATTCCTCTATAAAATTAGGGAAATACTACTCTCATTTTACATGAGATAGTTATCTCATTTTCTCTCACTTCCAAAATTGCATCCCTTCTTTTTATTTTTTGCTTTTTAACGGTAGGTCCCACTTGGATTCTCTCTATAACATGAGAGAACTACTCTCATGTGACATGAGAGTAATATTTCCCATAAAATTATGGGTTTAAACTTTCTAAAGTTATTTTAGATAACTTTATTTAATGTTCATCAAAATAGACACAAAAAAGTGTGTAAGATTCATATGGACCTATGCGAAGAGAAGAGGAAAAAAATATGAACTCGCATACTTTTTATGTGTATTTTAATGAATATTAAATAAAGTTATCTTTTTTTTGGAAATATTTCAATCGGTTCATTGCTCCGCAACTATTCTGATTTAGGGCGGGTCCAGGATTAAGGCTCTAAACCCCTCCTAAAGGTGGTACTGGGAAGATGTTTAAAGCCTTAATCCTGGACCCGTCCCGAATCGGATTAGTTGCGAAGCAATGAACCGATTGGAATATTTTTAAAAAAAAAAGAGATAACTTTATTTAATATTCATTAAAATACACATAAAAAGTATGCGAGTCCATATTTTTTTCTCTCTTCTCCTGGCATATGTCCACATGAATCTCACACACTTTTTTGTATATATTTTGATGAATTATCTAAAATAACTTTAGAAAGTTTAAACCGATAAATTGTAAATGAGAACAATTGATTTTGATCGAACAAATGAAAATTAAGGAAAGAATAAAGAGTATTTTTATAATGATTCTCTAGACATCACGTGACATCTCTGCCTCCAACCCTTGTTTTTTCATCCTTTTTTCCTTTGAGTTGCAATGAAAGGAGGATAGCGGAACACAGAGAGACGAGAGAAGAGAGCACATAAGCCACCGTTGTAGGAAGTTTCAGCACCACGAACGAGCCTTTGAGGTAAGAAACTTGGCTTCCAAAACCGTGCTGATTTTCCCTACCCCATTTTCTCTGTTTATTTCTTTCTCTCAATTCCTCATAAATTATGCTATACCTATGGTATTTAATCCACCCCTAAGAATATGTTGAATTCACTAGCTATTTCCATTCTTTCAATTTTCTTTTATTCTATTAACTTTTTCCTTTTTCTATGCATGGATTATGATTTTCCTTTTGATAGTTGTTGCACCCTTTCAAGATTATCAATTGGGCATTCACAATTGATACCCTTTAATAGTTTTCTATCCAGATGTCCAACAAAGTCTAAAAAGTAACTGAATTTGTATTTGAAATGAAATGACTTTGCCAACTTTTGGGTATTTCTATCACCCCTTTGATCTCTCTCTCTCTCTTTTGTGTGTATAGTTTTGTATCACTAAAAAATTTAGTAGTGAGCCCGTATATCTATCTGAATTTGTAGCTTTGATCTTTCTTTTTTTTTAAAAAAAAAAATTAGGGAAAATGATGATGCAGAATCAGATTCGGAAGATGAAGAGTACCATAAAGGACAATGACCGGCTTAGTGACTTGCCTACCGCAATTCTGCTTCATATAATGTCATTTATGAAGATAAAAGATGCTGTTCAGACTTGCATCTTGTCAAAACGGTGGAAAGACCTCTGGAAATCCCTCCCTAATCTCACATTACATACCTCAGACTTTAGCAAGCCTTCTATTTTCTCTGAATTTGTGTCTGGGATTGTGTTATGCCGTGATGGCAACCATCCCCTGCATAATCTTGACTTCGATCGCCATGGTTATTTTCAACCTCGAATTCTGACAAGTCTCATGAATTATGCTGTGTTACATAATATCCAACAGTTGAAAATCTATGTCCCCTATAATATTGGTTTGCCTTGGTGTGTATTTTCTTGTCGGTCTTTAACGTCTCTCCATATTTCAGTTTCAAGTTATGATATCAAAAAAAGAACGAGAATCCCTAAGTCTCTCAACCTTCCAACATTAATAAGTTTGCATCTCGAGCATGTTGCAATTTCTGTCGATGACAGAGGTCATGCTGAACCCTTCTCAACTTGTAACAAGTTAAACACTCTGATCATAGATCATTTTGGCGTAGTCTCTCCTAACTCTTACATCCTACCAAAGTTAGGAATCCTCAATATAACCAATGCTACACTTGCCAATTTGACCATCAATGATACTTCAGATCGCAAAATTGTGATATCTACACCTAATCTAAGTTCTTTCTCCTTAAACGGTTCTCCTTTTCAAGCATTGTGTGGACAGGAAGGGGTGAATGTTGAGCTTCAATTTTCCTCACTAATATAAAAGCAATACACTCCAGTCCAGATCTCTTCAGGTAACAGGAAATAAGATTTTCTAAGTGCTTTCTTTCTCTCATTGCTCAATAAAATGTTTTTAGGCCTAACAGTATCAGTTGAGTATTATCTTGGATATTCTTAATTCAGTCAGATATCATAGCAATGGAATCATGACATTTTACATAGTCTCATTGTCAGTTATTGAAGACACTGATGATATTCTGTTAGGAATGTGAGAAAGGATGTAAATTTAACTTGGCTAATTACATATTTCATAGGGAATGCTTGGGTAATGGAAAGAGACTGAGTGGAAAGTGTGTTGTACAAGACAGATGAGGATTGAACCCAATTGTTTGCTATTGATCAATATGAGCACCACCTTTATCTCAAACTAGTTGGGATTGGAGGTGGATGAACTCAAATAAAAAAAATAAAAAAAAAAGATCAAGGGAAAAGAAAAATAAGCCCAAATAGCAACCCCCGTGTTTTTTCCCCCTTAATAATTGAGGATAAAAGATTTGCTTCTAGAGTAGAGACCACTGAGGAAGGAATAAACTCACTCTACAAGCATTTTAATTTATTTTGATGTTCAGTCTTCTGGTATTTATTGATTGAGGGAAAAGAAAAATGAGTAAGAGAGAAGAAATAAATAAATAAACCAAAATAGCAGCACCTGTGTTTTTTCCTCCTTAATAATTGAGGATAAAAGGTTTGTTTCTAGCGAGTAGAGACCACTGAGTAAGAAATCCACTCTACTAGCATTTTAAATTATTTTTCTGTTCAGTCTTTGGTATTTATTTCTCCAGATCATGAATTTTTTTGACATGAACCCTTAACTGTAATTTATATGGAATAAAAGACGAGAAACTAATTTCCTGTATCTAGGAATTATGCATTTGTCTTCTGGTTTTGCAAGAGGGTTGTGAATTTGTGGCTTGTGATTTTGAATTGGTATTCTCTACAAGTATGTAATTTGCTAGCGAGTGCAATAATTGATTGCAGGAATGGGTTTAATTTGCTAATTGGGAAGTCTTTTCCATTTGTGCTGTTTTACTCGGGGTTAGCTATTATGCATTTTTATGATAAGATCATACCCTACTACTCATCATATATTTACTGTATGAAATTATGCAGCTGTAGATGGTGACAGAAGAATGTTTTTCATCGAAAGAGACTGAAGAAACTCTTGAGAGTCATAGAAAAGGAAACTGGGGCTGGAGAGAAGAAATTCATTGGTGGCAACAAAATTGGATTGGCAGACCTTGCATTGGGATGGATTGCACATACTTTGGTGGCCTTGGAAGATGTGGTTGGTGTCAAGTTAATCACATCTGATGCATTTCCTAACCTTCATTCTTGGGTGTTGAATTTCTTGGAATTTCCTACCACAAAAAACAATCTCCCACCTCATGAGCTAGCGGTTGAGTATTTCAGGGAAAAGAGGGAGATGTTTCTTTCAATGGCTACCATCACTAGAATATTGTATTCATGTTTGATGTTGGTTTTCTTATATCCATTTTTGTTTTGTTTTGAATCGAAAAATGCAACACAACAATGTAACAAGAATGAACTATTTGGACTGCTTATGATGGAGTTTAGTATTCTCATAAATTTTAGTATTTTTCTTCTAGGCCTTTGATGTTCTAATAAAATTTTGGGTTACATATATAATTTCGATTTGGAGTTAGGACTTTGTTGTTATCTTATGAATGGTCAAAGGTGGCATCACTGACATACAAATGTCATCTAGAATTTAGAAAATTTGTTGTTAACTTTTGAAAGGTTAAAGGTTCAAATAGAATTACAAAAAAGTATACAAGATAAGTATGTGAAGGGGCAAATTTCTTAGCTTTTGTCACCTAGTCTCTTTCAATGCAGGGAGTCAGGGACCTTTAAGCGTAGTTGATAGTTTAAAAGTCAAGGACCACCAATTTTTTTTTTTGTTATTGATAACTGGTGGTATATATATATATATATATATATATATATATATATATATATATATATATATATATATATATATTACGAGAGTTATTAATTTTATGTTGGTGAGATAAATATGTGAGGTTCACAATCTAAAAAAAAAGAAAAAATTGACACAAAATTCGATAGGTATATAGAAAAATAACTATCTCCGACGACATGAGACAAATATTTCTCCTATATTATATAACAAATGTTTATCATGTTTGGAATGTTAATAATATATGAAGATTTCTATGGAAATGTGGAAGCAATAACCATAATAATTCTATTAAATCATTGTTGTTCAAAATCTTGCGTTTAATGTGTAAAATATTAAAGATGAAAGAAACTTCAATTTTATTTTATTTTTAATGTTTCTCAAAGAATATCTATTCAAAAAACAAAAGATGTATAAATAAATTGAAAATCTGAAAGAGAGTATTTTATATATGATGTTAATGTTGAAGAATATATAGCAAGACATGCTTAGCATGCCTGGATCATTTTGAAGAAAATAAGAAAAATTATAAACATATTGCATAATGTGTTTCACGATCAAGATTATTAGAGAGTTAAATATGGTAGACAAATGTTATAATTAATATGGACGGCGAATGTTCATGCATTTACTCATTCATTTGTACCAGCAGATATTCAGGTTGACATAGTTCTTTACTTCTTTTATTCTTTTAGGTATTTATTATCTTCTTCCTTTCTTTTTCTTTTTCACTATTACTAAGAAGTTTTCTTGTTGGAAGACGATCCATTTTTTTTTTTTTAATACACTAACAGGTAGATAATAATTGTCCGTATGTTGTAGAATATTTTTCTCGGAGTAGTTGATGAATTAAAAAAAACGTAGTGAAATAGCAAATGTCAAAGTGTGACGTTTTCCCATCAAATGGCATAGGAGTAGTTGCGAATGTATTGATATCTTTCATGAAACCCAATTTTCCTTTTGGTGGAATCGAAGTTTAGAAGATAGGAGATTATGCTACTAGTTAATTTGCCGTAACTTATAATAATACTTTCAAGTGATATAATAATTAAAGAACACTATTTTATTTTTTTGGAGACAAGAACACTATTAAGGATTAACTCCAAAACATTTGAGTTAATTATGTTTACTGTACAAATTCAATTTGATCTCAAATATGATAATTTGATATCAAAAGTTATTTGTTAAGATTGAATCCTTTTTAGATGCTCTTTTCCTGTAAGTTTGTGTTAAAAAAAAAAAAAAAATCAAACTTCGAAAATAGATGACCAATTTTTTTTAGACCTATCTCGTAATATTTAAATAGTGACCCACGGCATAATAAATTTTTAATAAACTTACTTTAGGGTAGTTGTGCAAGTTAACAGGTCAACATATCCTCCTGTTCCTGTACCTTCTCTCTCATACAATAGCACAAGTGCTCTTGAAAAAGACATACAACTATACTTTAAAAAGAAAGTTGTGAACCAGAACATTTACTTAATTATGCGTGGAATATAAGCATAATTGTGTTCGAAAAAGTAAGAGATGAAAATTAAATACCTATTCACCAAACCAATTAAAAACAATTAGCTAGCTTAAAGCATATTTATAGTTTTACTCAAATATTGTGTGGAGCTTTTTAAGAGATTGAGGTTATAAGGATTAAAATGATTCTTACTTGGTTAAAGAAGCTTTAATTAGCCTACATCTTTATTTCAATCAACCAGGTGAATTGCAATACCTGATCCTAAGTTTAAGCATAGGTGATGTGGAAGAGATTCATTCTTAACTAATCTGTTCTTGATTATTGTGCTGAGGTGCAAAACAATGCAATGGATTAAGAATCATGCTTGATGTGGGAAAATTGACAGCTAATTAAAGCAACATCTGATACATTACTTCCTGTCCTGTTTATTTTACTTAACAAATTAGTTTGTGGTATGCATCATACACTTTCTTGGTCAGCACCATGTGCATGGTTAATGAAGTATTTGAAAAAGGAACCTGATTGTCAATAGTATAAAGTGCTGTAAAAAGTTACATGCAGAGTGATAGATGCCTTGAATCTGTCTCACATACAATGGTGCACTCAGAAAATAATTTTTATGTCCGCACATTTAGTGATAGGGGTTTGGGGGCAACGTCTCTAAATTTTTTTTTAAAGAAAATTTCAAATGCATTAAAAAACAAAAAATATAAATAAGAAAAAAAAACTTCAACTTAAAATAAAAAATTATTCCCAACACTTTTTTTTTAATCAGATTGATTTGTTGTATGACATCATAAAATATCCAATAAAATATATGTCAATTCTTTTCATTTCCATTTTATCCCTCGTTATATATCCAATCAAAACCTAATCTAACCAACATCATATTTGATTACTATACTTAAAAAAAAAATCAGGAATTCATGTCCTCAAGTGCGGACATAGGTGACCAACTAGGTCCCTCTCTGCTCACATACATGCATTTTTAAAAAATGGTATTTAATTCCTTAGAATGTTCATGCCATGTGGCAAGAAACAAATGGGATGGCTTAAGATTAGAGCAATGAATCCCACTGAGGTAATCATTATAGCCTTAAATTTGGAGGTGGATACTGCCATGAGCTTCCGGTGCTTTTTCATTTTTTTGCATTTTACCATATGAGGCGTTTTCAGTGTCTTTAAGGCATTCTCAAAAGACATTGAAGTGTGGTCCGAAAAGAAAATACAAAAAGTACAAACCTTTGCTGTGCTCATGCTCTTTGGCCATTTGTTTAATACTAGACCTAGTAAAAGAAGCAATGACTTCATCAAACTAGCACAAAGGATATTAAAATTAAATCCTGGATATATATAATAATCATGTACATGATAATATAGATAATAAACCTTTGTTACCTGCACCGCTAAGGCTTCCAAAACTAACACTTTTTAAGGAAGAACCACCTCATTTCAATTAATAGATAAGTGGTTATCTATTATAATAAATTCACAGCTCTTTCCCTTGCTTAGTGTTTATGAAATGTATCAGTGACAAAAAAACAAAGTGTCACTGGTTGGCTGTCCACATTATATTACATTAGCATAGTGAAGAGAATAATATAGCATGTGGGTGTTCAATAAAATCACATGAGTATTAATGAGAAAAATGAAAATGCCCTACATAATAACAAAGCATAAACATAAAGGTCTTAGATTAAGGAAGTTGCTGTCATGAAACGAATGTCAATTTTCCATGCTTTGCACCCTGTAAGACAGCTGATCCAAAAAAGATTGAGCTGTCTGATTCCGATTGGTTGTGTAGGAAATACATGATACATAATGCAAGCATAAATTTATAGTAGATGTAAAGAACCAATTCAACCAAAAAACTTAAACTATTGGGTGAGGCTACATTAATGGTTTTATATATTTCAACACGCCCCCTCACACGAGAGCCCACTGGGCTTGAAGGGTGGACAATGCACAGACCCACCTACCTGTGCGAATAAAGAAATTCCACTAGAAAGAAAGTGGGGGGCGGTGAGGATCGAACCCGGTACATGAGGCAATAACAATTTCCTAATGAAACACAAAGTAGGTTCCTTTACTATTATAATAAGCCTATATACATGTCAATGTGAGGTGTACCTTAGCCCTTAGGAAATTTATTTAGTGTAGTACCTGTATTTGAATCATTTCTATCTGTCAATGTTTTATCTCGGATTTACTATCTGAAGGATCTATATGGATGATACATTTCCCAAGATGGAAATCTTCACCCAAAAGGAACTGCCAACTTGTTTGCAAGAAATGACAATGGCATCAAAGTTTTTGGATGATGCAATTATAAGAGGTTCTCACTCTCTCACTCCTTCTCATCATGTTCATGTATCGAGAAGTGGGGTAAACTCATCAATGGCATCAACTGAAAAGCTTCTTTTATTTTCAGATTCTACTTCAATGAAAGAAGAGGTACCTTTATCCACTTTGATTAGTCATATTCCTGCAAAGATCAATGGTCATGAAGACATCAAAAATGAGAAAGAGAAAAACCAATCCGTTTCTGGATTCAATTCTATCTGCACTCTTGGTGTCTCAGCCTCAGATATAAAACATGATTCTATTCCTCTAAATCTTTTGGAAACTCTCTCAGCATTACCTATAGCACAAGTTTCAGATGAGCCAGTGGCATCTTCAGCTTCTTCTTCTTCTTCTACACCAAAATTTCCAAACTTGTCTTTGTTTTTGCAGGAACCCACCATGCTGCACTCATCATCCTCACATATCAAAAGTGGTGAAGTCATGTCAGAAACTACAAATCCCACATATTCTTGGTCACAGTTTGGTCAAACCCAGCATCAATCAGGTAGTGATTCACACAAAATGAATAAGAATGTAACAAATCTTCAGTCCAAGTCTTTCAAAGACAATTGGTTGAGTACAACAAGGACTCAGCCTTTGAAGTATGCTTCAAGAGGTAAGTTGTTCAAAGGGGTGAGGCAGAGACATTGGGGGAAATGGGTTGCAGAGATTAGATTACCAAGAAATAGGACTAGGGTTTGGTTAGGGACTTTTAACACAGCTGAAGATGCTGCCATTGCATATGACACAGCAGCATACATATTAAGAGGAGAATATGCTCAGTTGAACTTTCCTGATCTAAAGCATGAAATTCAAGCCAATTCTTTGAATGGAACAACTGCTGCACTTCTTGAGGCCAAACTACAAGCAATTTCACAAGGTGTTTCTTCTCATAGGAAGCACACTGCTTCACCAGCAGGGTCAAACAATAAGCTCACTGAAGAGAATGACAAATTGAAAAGTAAAAATGGCAAGGATTCAACCATAAAGGAGTGGCAGTTTAATATAGAGAGCAAGGTTGGAGCTGAGACAACAGAGAGAAGCAAAAGTACTCATCATATGATATCAGATGTTGAAGCCGTTCAGTTAAGTAGAATGCCCTCCTTAGACATGGACATCATTTGGGATTCACTTTTAGTCTCTGATTCATGACCAATTTAATGTTTTTTACTTTGAAAGCATACATAGCCCTTGTTTGGTTTACAATTATATTTCTCATTTGGACCACAACTTCAGTGTGAAGCTCATTAGTTCATTCTAGTTTTGGCGGTTCCTACTTCCTAGTCCACACCTCACAATGTAATGAATCATCATGTTTCTGTTTTACTTTGAAACTAATAATGCTTTTTAACACCCTTTAGAAATAGGCATTTGGTATATGTGTTGCTGATGAGAGTGGATCCTCTCACGTGGAAAAATGACCATATGAGCATGTTATTTGATCACAACTACTCATTGATGATGATATAGAAGAGAGAAAATTGAATAATTTTTAAATGAATGGTTATGATCAAATAACATGACCACATTATCACTTTTCCACATGAGAGGATCCACTTCCCTCGTTAATTTATTAAGTACTGTGAATGTTTGAGTTTTACTTTTATATATGTATGCTATGAAATTTGATGATTGATAATGAGATTGAGTTTAAGTTTTTTTTTTTTTTTTTTTTTTTTAATTTACAGGTAAAAAAAGATGAATTTTTTCAATTGTCACATTATGTACGGAAATTTCTAAAATATTCTCGTCCCACCCACTTTTTCATATATCAAATCCCTCTAATAAAAATCAAACACGTAACATGTAAGAGAGAAAAATACTCTTTTAAACACAGGTGTTTGATTGTGAATGACAATAATATATGCGACTGTGGTACTAAAAATGAGCTCATAGGTTGAACCATTTAGACCTGTTAGTTGATACAAGGCAATCAAACATTATTTTTATTTATTTATTTTACAACTTGTTCAAATGCAGACAATTTTGGATGGTCTATTTTATCCATGGCCCATCTGTGCTTAAAAGGGGTGGGCCAACCCCCTTGGCAACCCATAAGTTAAGTTTCTTGTTATGAAAATAATTATTTTTTCTTCATATTTTTTACAAATAATTTTTAAGAACTATGTGTGAATATCAAGAAAATGTTGTTTCAAAATATTATTTCATGTGTTAATTTAGTCTGATAATATTGGAAATAAGTCAAATTACACAAGTACGTATTTATGTTTCTACTCGCTTAGTTAAAAAAAGGCAGTCTGAATTCTGAACTCAACCCAAGCTTAAATTGGTGCATTTTTGTTTTTTCTTGAAATAATTTTTTTTTTTTTTTGATAACATTCTTGAAATATTTTTATGTAATTGTAGCTGGGAATTGGATCGAACTTTTAATTCAACTGAATTGAATTATGATCAACCACGACCACGAGTATGAGAAAGAGTATGACATTTTGGAATCGATTTATTCTTTTTTCAAGAATAAATAGCAGAAATAAAAACATTTTTTTGTTTTTTCCTGATGTATGTTTATTAAATACAGATATCATAAATTTATTATTAACATTAGATACACATTATTTATTAAGTATATATTCTATCTTCGGTTGTAAAATTATATTATTGTTTATCAAATTTAGATTGCAACTCAGAATCTCGTAAGCATACCTTTCAATGACATCCAAAAGGTCAAATGTTGTGAACTTATATTTTTCAAATTCATATGTCAGTGAAATGACATATGTCACATTCTCTTAATTTATTATTCAGCAAATTGTTTCAGTCTTGGAAGCTAAAATTTGAGGTCACTATAGAAAAATATACTACTAGTAAATAAAATTATAAAAGTTTTTAAAATGAGTTCTACATTTTTTTCAGACAAAATGAAATAACTTTGGTGTTTGGTTGTTGATTTTTTTTTTTTTTTTATATACACGACCCTTCAGTTTTCATGATCGATCGGGTCATCGGTTTTGGCATGATTTTGACTGGGTTTGATACATGGGCGGTCCAATACCTGATTCAAGCTGGTCGTTGGACTGGTTCGTCGGGTTTTGGGTCGATCCGGGTTTGATAATACTTTGCATAGGCCTAATTTTTTTTTATTTTTTTTTTACCTTATACTTATTTAATTTCATAAGTGGGGGACGATTATGATCGAATTCGTGACCTTGTGGTAAGCTCTGATAACATGTAAATAACTAATTTAACTGAAAACATTAAGGTGTTGAGTGATGATGTTTTTAATGATTTATATTTTCTAACAACATTAACATTCATTTAGAGCCTTCACTACATGCTTTAGAATCCATTAATTTTTTTTTTTTTGATACATTAGAATCCATCAAATTGATGAAGATGTTAGTTCACGATTCTTTTATCTGACTGAGATTGAAACGTGACAAAACTGGCGATATATAAATACATATTTTTATTGTTATATGACATATTAAATAATAAATTAGAAGTCATGTAAAATTTTAAATTAACATAAACCACCATATTATATATCATTTGAGAGCCAATCCTAATAAAAACATCATTGGATACTTCTATGTTTACAATGACTAACCAGAAAGCTCGACTTACCTTTGAACAAATCAGAGGCCATGCCATTTTACATATTGCAGACCATTATTCTTTTTTACTATATATGACATTTAATTCAGTAGTCTTAATCATACTTAATAGCTTTCATTAAACATACCCCACTTTTAATTTGCAACATTAACAGGAAATTCTTGAATCTCATCTGTCCATGGATTCTTCTCCTTGGTGGGATCAATGTTTCTTAGTGCACACAAAACTGCACTATTGCACTTGAATCCAGACCCAAATGCAATTTGCCATATCCTGTCACCCTTTTTAATCCTTCCCTTGGCCTCACAATATGCTAATACATACCACACCGAACTACTTGATGTATTGCCATACCTATAAAGAGTCATCCTTGAAGGCTCCAAATCCCAATCACTCAATTCAAGTATTTTCTGTAACCCATCTTGCACAGCTTTTCCACCAGTATGAATGCAGAAGTGCTCAAAAGCTAACTTAAAATCTGGGGTATAAGGTTTCATTCTTTTGTTGAAGTATTTTTTGGCAACAAAAGTTGACAAAAATTTCAGTTGTTCCATTAAGGGTAAGACAGATTTCCCAAGAGTTGAGATGTTAGCTTTAAGAGCATCTCCAGCATAATTCATTAAATCTTTGGAAAGTGCAACACCAGTAATTCTCTGTGTTTCATCTTCTTTTTGAATGATACAATTGTAGCAATCATCTTGAGAGCCTTTGTGGGTGCGTACAATGTGGCTGAGAGAATATTTGGAACGACAAGAATCAGAAGAAAGGTTTGAGAGCAAGATTGCTGCAGCACCCATTCGAAAAAGGCAATTGGTCACAAGCATGGACCGGTTGTTTCCCATGTACCACCCACTATTAATGTTTTCAGTGCTCACAATTAAGGCATAAGAGTTGGGATGTACCTGTATTTATATATATAAATCAGGAATAAGAAAACAAGGTAAGAAAAAAAATGAAAAAGAACAAGGAGGGGTCGTGGAAATAATTTATGAGCAATCACTTCTAAACTTTGTTTGATCTTCACTCTGTTTAATGACTTATTTATTTATTTTTATAGTTTTAAATTTAAAGCATCATGCAAAGTTCACCAAAAGAATAAATAAATAAAATTAAGCATCATACTATCGTGTTATAGTAGAGCTGAGCCTTGAAGCAGCGGTAAAATTGCTTTTAATAATTAGAAGGTCACGAGTTTAAAGTTTTACTATCATGTGAACTTATAATATTATACAAAAAAACTTAATTACATTTAATGAAGTTATCTAAGGATCAAGTTATGGTGTTAGCCAAAAAGAAAAAAAAATGAGATGATACAATTAAAATAAAGTTAATTTTTTAAGTAACCTGTAGGAGTTGTTTGGCGAGATCTATGGACAAAAGTCCTGCACTGCAACCCATACCACTGAGATTATAGCTCAAAATGTTATGCTTAAGCTTGTAATGGTTGACAACTATGGCACTGAGGGAAGGTGTTGGATTGAATAGACAACAGTTCGTTACAAGAATTCCTATATCATCAACCTTCACATTTGTCTTCAACAAAAGCTCATCAATGGCACCAAAAATCACAGATTCTGTCTCTTTCCTTGCCTCAGCTCCGGAAATGTTTGGTGGGGTCTCCAATAAAGACTCAGGCACATAAGTCTTTTGGCCAAATCCAGACCTATCCATAATCTTCCTTTGAAAATCTATGCTCTCATCATGGAAACGCCCGCTGCAAGTTGATTTCTCAAGGAACAGCTCCTTGGTACAAATGCATGCAGGATCAGGTTTATAACATGCAAAATCCACTATATAAACTTTTCGTTGGCAGATCTTGTGGTAAAACGTGGCTATAGATGCTATTAAGCTACACAATAATAAAAGTGATGAAACGTGACTAGTCATACCTAAGAATAGGAAAGGCATAGAAAACACACCCATGTTGGATATGCAGAGATGTTATTGAAAACTTACCTATTTATAGAAGCTTTGTAGTGTTGAGTGAGCTAGTAGCATCTCTACTACGGGTGTAAATAGGTTAGGGTGGCCTATAGGGGCCTACGGCCTAACCTATATTAGTTCAGGCTTGGCCTCTATTATAAATAGTAAAGAGAACAGGCTTACGTTTTAAAAAAAAATTATTTAGAAAATAGGCAATAGGCTTTTTTGTACATATCGGACCTATAAACCTACAAGGCCCGCCTATATTATATTATTTATTTTAAATAAAATAAATAAAATAATTATTTTAATAATTTTGAATAATAAAATAATATTATTTTAGTTATTCTTTTAATTGTTGAATGTTTAATAGGCTTAAATAGATTAATAGGCTTAAGCTTTTATTGTTTAAATATAGGTCAGGCCAGATTTGTAATTTGTGGCCTATACAGGCTAACAGGCCAGGTCAGACCCAATATTTTTTACATAGACCTAGCTTATTTAAGTCAAAGCCTAGCATATTTACGCCCCTAGGGTGTTCATCAAGAATTTAACTATTCTAAACTGAGGAGTGCACTTTAAAAAAATTATGTGTAAGATCATAACCGTTCATCTTCATGTTGAGATTGTGATAAAATACATCCATGTATATGTATAACAAACTATAGAGTTGTTAAACACTTTGTCTTCAAATAATAATAATAATAATAATAATTCTACTACTTTAATTTTCCAATTAACCGGCTAACCGCTATAAGTATGACTCTTTTATCTAAAAGACACCTCTCCCTTCAAAAGAATTAATGTTGGTTTTTTTTTTTAGCTTTAAAAGATACTTAAAAAGTAAAAAGTAAAAATAAAAGCTTCATAAATAAAATGAAAATTATTTGCAGTTTATATGATTTTTTTAGTCTAAAAATTATTTTAAAACACAATCTATAATAAATTGATTGATAAAATAATTTATATAAACTATATTACTATGAAAATTCAGATAAACACAAATATTATTCAAAAAATAAAAAAGATAAATCCTAAAAATAAAAATAAAAAATATTCATTTTTAATCTTTTTAAAAATAAAAAAATAAAAAAAATGTTTATATACTAATATATCAATTTTTAAATAATATATTTATAACTATATTAATTTTTCATTATCAAATACTTATTTATATAAATAAATAATTTAATTTTTTAATTATACTAATATATATGTGGAGAAACCCTTTAACTCCGTTGTAAGAATACAAAGTCTTACTCTTCATTTCAACTATTATCTTCGTGTATCTGTTGGTAATAATTTATTGAATTATATCCACTCATTAATTATTAATTTCTATTAAATTATTGTTATTAAATGCACGGAGATTAATAACTAAAATAGAAAGTAAGACCTGTTATTCTTACATCGTTGGAAAAATATCATTTTCATATATATAGAGATATAATCAACTTACACGGGTGTAAGAATAACAAATCCTAAATCAAATCTTAACCATTGATTTGCATGCATCTAACGGTTTTAATTTATTAGGTCATACTTATTAATTAATTATTAATTTTCAAAAAATTACAATTGTTAGATATACGAAAATCAACAGTTAAGATTTGATATAAGGCGTATTATTGTTACATCAGTGTAAGATGATTCTGCTCATATATATATGGAAAAATGTTTGTCCTTTTAAAAAACATAAACTTTGTGTTATTTTAAATGAAACAACGTCGTTTTTGTGCATAATTGGTAATTTTTTACATTCTCTCTCCTCCATAAAATTAGGAAGAGAGAGAATATAAAAAATTATCAATTATACACTAAAACAACGTCGTTTCATCTAAAATGACTTAAAGTTATATCCTTTAAAAGGATAAATATTTTTTCCATATATATTTAGGTAAAATCATCTCTGCAGCCGCTGCACATATAGCAGGTCAGAATACACATGCAGATCCTGTCTTTTTTTTAAAAAAAAAAAAAAAAGCAGTGGGGCCCACTTTGTTGTCTCAGCTGCAGACAGCAGCTCTCTGCAGCTGCTGCAGAAAAAGCAGTGATATATATATATATATATATACATATATATATATATATATATATAGATAAACCGGTGGTGGTTCATAGATGTACCCTTGGAGGGTGTAATATGTTGATCTAGGGGTACTCTCAGCAGCCATGGTATTGACCAAGGCTCTGTAAAAACTTCCCATGGTGCTGCATATAAAAAAGGGGGGAGTGTGTGTGAGTGTCGAGGAAGAGTATACCTTTTCAATGTGTGAGGGGGGTATTTGGAGAGGGGATGTGGAGAGTTGTAGCCAACCTAGCCTGAATGCTGAACCCTCTGTTGGTGTGCAGAGGCCACAATTCTTAGGGAGAGGGGAGCGTAGCCTATGCTACCCGCTAGAAGTGGGCTTTAGGAGTAGACCAACTGATGGATTTGCATATATGGGCCGACCAGAACAAAAGCCCCCTAGCTTGGTAGCTTGCAGATTCAAGATGCCAAGATATATCGCAACTTAGTCCGGCTATCAGTAGTCTCCAGTAATCAAAGTAGGATACAATGTAATTGACCGGTAATACGCTGGCCTTCATGTCTTGTTTATTTGCCGCTTTCAAGTGTGGATTATCTGGTCGGCGGTGCTTGAGTGCTTCAAGAGGATCTTCTATTCTGACTTGAAATTATGTTTGAAATTATGTTTGCAATTATGTTGACATTCTAGCTGCTTTCAAAGATGTGCCCGTAATCTCAACTCATTTAGACGGCTAGGTTCACTCTGCCACAACTTATAACCGCCCTAAAGGCTTTCTTTATAAGTTGTGGAAGAGTGGATCGTAGCTGTGAGTTGGGTCTTGATGTATAGTTGCTCGGATATTTAACTTTCTAATCATAATCCGATCGGGAATGGTAACTTCAAAGGTTGTTGAAGCGGCAACAATTTGATATTAAGAATAAGTTGGTGAGCCCATGTTGAATCAAGTAGCTTGTAGTTATTGACAACTGAAATAAAGACGTCTTGATCATCTGATAATTATAAAATACCCTCGATAGAATTGTAGATGTGAGCTTCCTGAGAAAATAATGTTTGTATATGAAAGCTTTCACAACGAATAATGTGTTCCAAGAGAAAAAGGTTGAAATCTTAGTGGTAAATATATATTTCCCCATCTTCAAAAATAAACATTATTGATGGCATGAATATATATGATAAATAATGCCCAGTGACTTGGGTCTTCGATGACCAGTTGCTCATATATTAAACCGGCAATAGCTAATATAGTAATATATGAATGGCAATAACAAGGTGCCCAGATAGGACGTTGGCCAAACGCTGGCCATCTAAGACTTTTACAGAGGGTGGAGACTGATGTGCCTCTGGCATGTGATATTTTCCAAGCCAAAAATAATAAGAATTTAGTCATAAAAGAGCATTTTCTGTATATTAATTGCTTTTATTATTTAGTTTTTCCATTTCAGTTTATTTCTCATTTTTTTAATAATTTTTACAGGTTAAAGTATGAAGAAATAGGAACTTGGAAAAAGAAGGAACAGAAAACCGCGGTACCCACGCGGGAATGTGTTCACCATACAAACTCCAAAGAGTTGGCACGGTTGCAGCGTCATTATGGCGCGACCCGCGCGAACTTCAGCGGGGAGTCAAATTCTGAACGTTTAAAGGACGTTGCGAGAAAAAAAGGGGGGAATTTGGTACGACAGAGGAGAACAAGGATTCTAGAAAGAAGAGAAGAGCAGATGATCATTCTTCGTTTTCTCATAGTAATTTTATTTTGAATTCTCTCTTTTATAATTGTTGTCAGCTATGTCTATGGCTGGCTAATTTCTTTATTGTAGTTAGGGTCACAAACCCTACGTGAACCCTTTTTACGATGGATTGATTTATTTTCGCTAGTTTATTTTAATATATTTTATTTTTACCCTGTGCGTATTGTTTATTATTTCTGTTAGACTTGATCAAAACCTAATAGGAGATAATAATTTGGGAATTAGGATTCGCAATATGAATATTGGGGTTTTGATTCTTAAAGGGGGTAAAGTAACAATTTATGCTTGCTCTAGGGATAGACTTGTGTGGATTGTAGTCGTTTAAATTATCGTGGTTAGTGCTTAATTTCATGCGGAATTGCTAAGGAAGTAGGGTTCCAATTGGATTAAAGGGTGAGATTACCAAGGGATTGATATTTAACTAATTATGTTTAGATGATAATTTGTCTGAGTTATTAAAATTAATGAACATTTTTAATCAATCCAAAGTTTAAAGTGGGGATCATATGGTGCGTGTACCTTAGCTGCAATGCCTTTTATTATTCTCTCAAAAATCCAAATTTTACCATTGTTTATTAAATTGAATATTCTATTTTCAATTTTTAATCTTTATTTTACCATCAATTCACTATTTTCCGAAAACAACCGAGTTTTCCAACTTAAGGGGACTGGTTATTGTGGTACTTGGTTTACAATCTCTGTGGAGACGATACTTTACTTACTCATTATATTACTTGTGCGATCGGTACACTTGCCGGTGAGCATCAAGTTTTTGGTGCCTTTGCCGGGGATTGTTAATACCAATATTATAAATAACCGTAGATCTTTGAGATTGGATTTTTATTTTTATTTTTATTTTATCTTGTTCTATCTTGTTCCGGGTTTTTTCAGGTGCTGCTAACAATTTTTTTTTCTGAGTTTATGCGAGGTAGAATTGCTCGTAATGACTTTTTGATTGATCCTGAAATTGAATGGACTGAGAAGGAACTGAGGAAAGTTGCCAAGCAGATAATTTGGGAAGAATTCAAGAGCGTACCTGTACAACCAATACAAGAGATGGCGAATAATAACAATGCTGGTGGCAGAGGCCACAATGCAAATAACCCACCTCCAAGATTGTTGGACACCATTCTGACTCTGGTGTTTAATAGGCCAAATTCAAGTATACTCAGGCCGGCGGTGGCGGCGAACAATTTTGATCTGAAG